AACCTGGATTTGCTTTTTTTCCTACTCATTTTTACCTATGCTTTATTTTTGTTTCCTATAGTTTCCTTTGCTACAAAGGTTTTTTTAATGGGAAATTTTATTCACTGTCTAGTTTTGTTTTTGCTTTTAATCCTCACCCAAGAATATTTTTCTATTGATTTTTTAAAGAGAATGGAAGGGAGGGAGGGAGAGAGAGAGAGAGAGAGAAACATCAATGTGAGAGAGACACATCAGTTGGTTGCCTCCCACAAGATCCAGACGAGGACTGGGGATTGAACCTGCAACCCAGGTATGTGCCCTTGACAGGAATCAAACCCAAGACCCTTTGGTCTGAGGGCTGATGCTCTTAACAGCTGAGCCAAATTACTTACTACTTTTTTTTTTGTGGTACGTGCCCCTAGCGGGAACCTAACCCAGGACTCTCTGGTCTGTAGGCTGATGCTCAACTGCTGAGCCAAACTGGCCGGGACTATTTAACTACTTTTTAAGTAGAAAACTGTATCTGTTGGAAACATTCTTTTTTTTTTTTGCTTCACAACCTAACTTGGGAGAGGAGTTCCCGTATCCATTTTACTGTATTGAATTTTTCTTTCAATGACATATAATTGACTTACACTGTTATGTTAGTTTCAGTTTAAGTGTACAACATGGTGATTCTATATTTATATACGTTATGAGTGATCACCATGATTAGCTCCTTTCTGTCACCGTACAAAGTTATTGCAGTATTATTGATTATATTATCTATGCCTTTGTCGCTTTCTCATGACTTACTCTATAACTGGAAGTTTATGCCCTTAATCACCTTGACTTAGTTTTCCCTCTGAGTCCATTTCTGTTTTGTGTTGTTTGTTTGTTTGTTTTTTTTTTAGATTCCACATATATGCAAAATTATACAGTATTTCTCTCTTTCTCTATTTTCACTTAGCATAATACCCTCCAGGTTCATCCATGTTGTCATAAATAGAAAGATTTCATTCTTTTTTAAAGCTAATATTTTATTGTGTATGGTATATCGCATCATCTTTGTCCATTTATGCATCAATGGACTTCCATCGATGAACTTAGGTTGCTTCTATATCTTGGCTATTTTATAACGCTGCAAAGAACATAAGGGGGTGTGTATCTTTTTGAAGGGGTGTTGTTTCCTTCAGATAAATGCCCCGGAGTGGAATTGCTGGGTCGTGTAGTAGTTCTAGTGTTCGTGTTTTGATGGACCTTAATACTGTCCCCACAGTGGCTGCACCAGGGTACCTTCCACCAGCGGTGCCCGAGGAGACCGTACCGTTGTTTTTCTTAAATAAATTATTTGATATTTTGATGCCTTACTTTTGACTCTCTGCAAAGGAGTCGGACTTGGTATTTAAAATTCCTTCTAAGAATTTTAATACATCTATTTGCAAAGAAATGGATTTATGAACCTTTGGTGTACTATGAGTTCTACAGTTTTCCAAAAGGAAAAAAAAAGTAGATTGTTTTTTATTCTTATTTATTAGGAACCATTATGTAGGTTGCAGGAAGGTTGTGAATTAAAAGTATGTTTAGATTTTTTTTTTTTTTTTTTTTTTATCCTCACCCGAGGACATTTTTCCATTTTTTGTTCAGGTAGAGTGGGAGGGAGAGAGAGGAACAGAGAGAGAGAGAGAAACATCGATGTGAAAGGAACACATCGAGTGGCTGCCACCCACACAACCGACCAGGGCTGGGGACAAACTGCAACCGAGGTACGCGCCCTTAGCGGGAACCGAACCCGGGTCTCTGAGGATCGCAGGCCGACGCTCTAACCACTGAACCAAACCGGCCAGGGCTGTTTAGATTTTTTTATCCTGATTTACTAAGAACCATTTAGCTTGCAGAGAGGTTATGAATTTAAGAATGTGCTTTTCACTGTGGTTGAGATGGTTACCGCAGTGCAATGATCAGTTAGTTATTGACTTAAGAATGGGTTCTTAATGGACTTTGCTATTTTAGTCAATTCCTTAGCTTTGACTATAATATGGTGCTTTCATAATATCAATTTAAGTCAGTGAAATGACATATTTTATGGTTATATCTACATGTATGTAATGGTTTGACCATTGCTGTTGCTAATTAACAATTGTTCATTGATTATGTAGTTGTATACTGATTTATTCACTTTAAATGTTAAAAATAAATCCCCAAGATGTGAAGCTGTTCTTGATGCACATGTGATACTGTTCTTTCTGAAAGCACAGACCTCATATTACAGAACAGTATTGGAAAGAGGAAAACATTGTGTTCATTTCATAGCAGCATTTTGCACAGTATTATTGGGGGTTTCAACTATCTGTTTAACTCTTCAGCCAGCTGAAAGTCAAGGACTCTGTTCCTTCAGAATATAGAATTGTGGTAAAATACTTAATGCCATAGTTTTAATTTAACTTTTACCTTTATTAATACCAACAGACATATCATTTTTAAATTAATTATTCATTAGTTCCCTTAATCTCAACCCTGTGTTTGTCTCTAAGTATGAGCCTTCATTTACCAGGGTTTCAGTTTTTAGGGAGCGGGTATCTCATCCAAGAAAGATATTATTCTGAAGATCCCCAAATGGTGATAGAGGTGGTGGCCCTGAGCAATACCTGTGGTTCCAACATTAGCTACAATTGGCGTTTTCGTTATGAATAAGACAACCACCAAGCTACCGACTGCCACGGAATGGTAGCAGGTGACCCTGAAGGCAGGAAGTCAACATTTGATAGGCAGGCATCAAATATGCAAGTGCTTTATCTTCCTGGTGTAACCTTCTTCCATCCCTGAGGGTTGGTTTTCACAAACTCTCAGAATTGATACCTTGAAAATACGTCTTAAATTATAGACGCTGTTGGCAGTTTTTATTTGTTTTGTCTTTATTTAAAATACAGCATTTGTGAATGGGAGCTTCTGGATTCACCATGTGATTTTTTTCTTTTTATAAAATGAATATTTAAATCCAATTATATTACTTATTTCAGGTCTAAACAAATGTAAAGATAAATATCTCACACTACGGGGGCAATACCAGCACTGAAAGTTAGCTCTGCAGTGATTTCTGGTTTATTTTTAAAATAATGGAATGTGTTTTTCAACATATACATTTTTCTTTTAGTGTAGGAAAAACATTGGACTATTTTAAAATTGCAGAGTTTTAAAATCAACTGCTAGTAGCCATTGTCTGTATTATTTAAAATTGTCTAATCTATACAGAAAGGAAGGAGTCTCTAAAAATGATAAAGTCTTAAATTTTGTTGCTCGATACCTTCTTCAAACTTTTAGTGTTTGATTCCTGTGTTTTACAGATAACATTTCAAAACACATCATGCCAGTCTTGGTCCAGAGAGGGAGTAGTGATGGACTAAGACTCCCGGGTTGGCGGCAGATCGGAGAGCGATCTAAGCATACGTTAGGATGTGGAATTACCAGGATGCCAAGGGCAAGGTGTAAGGCAGGTCAAAGAACGATCCGATGTGTGGGGCACCCTATACACATGCAGAATCCTTACACACGTCCCTCTGTGCTAAGCATGTTTCTGACATCATCAGAGTCTAGTCTTCCTAAAATCTCTAAGACGCTTCTCATCCCAAAGTCAAGAAGCAGAGAAAGAGGTTAAGGAAGGAAGTGCTCAGTGTGCCCAGCTAATACGCTGCAGAGCCAGCGTCTAAGTTCCGGTCTCTCTGATCCGAACCCCCGCTATTTACACCAGGAGGAGGCTGGACACGCTCGTTAGAAGGCTGCAGGGGTGGCATCGTGGGCCTTTTCCTAAAGGAGGTCGTGGAGAGGATGGTGCCAGCCAAAGCCGGACTGGCAGGTGTCTACCTGTGAAGACGGCCTGGATGACCATCCCCTGCACTGATCTGAGTCCTTGGCTGTGATCCAAACCCTCCTCTTAAAGGTGGACCTAAAGGTTATCATACTGGTTTCGTACTGAATTCTGTATACTGTTTACTTCTTTTCGTCCATGCTCATCCGTTTATGTGGCTTGCTGTCCTGTGTTTCCCCTTACTCCTTGACACAGAATAATAGCAGTCTTAGCTGTTGCTCCTTCCTTCACCCACCCCTACACTCTCCCTCCTCCTGGGAAAGAGACATCAGAATCCCTTTGCTTTCTGCGCTCTGCTCATATTTGTCCTCATCACTCTTGGATCTGATGGAGTTTTTACACTATAACCATAAAAGATGACATTTCATCCTCTGAGAAAAATGTCTTGGTTATATCCTAGCTAAACGCAAGGGTGGATTTTTCTCCATGACTTAATTTTGTGACCCAACTGGGGAAACTTGCAGTTTTATTAGCAGCTGTCTTCCCTTTTCTTATCAGATATGCAGCTTTTAGCACCTAGCTCAAAAGAGAAAACACATGGCCTGCAGTTATTATTTAGACTTCACAGATATTTCCAAACAATTTTTCTTAGATAGGGAAACAAGCAAGTAACCCTGCCTTGGATCTTTCAAACAAAGCTGTAGTATTCGCAGTCTATATAAACACGACATGTGCAAGGATGCTTGGTTAGCTGTGGTCCCAGGGAGCAGTGCTGATAGGCTTGAACATAGAAAAGAAGGTGCGTGTGTTTTTCTTCCCCCACAGGTTGAAGGTTGACTTTAAAAGGGAAAATGCTGAGTGTTTCTTGAAACAAAATGGGAACTTCTTTATTTCCTCCAGACATTCATTGCCAACCTGCAAACATTTCAAGAGCAACTCGTACACCACCTCACCGGTGTGTGGTGACATTTAGTGGTTGAGTGACGCACTGGTACACAGATCTGGGGACTAAAATGGGAGTTGATCAGTGGATCTTTTCTACTGTAAACACCAAGGCGACCATTTGAAATTGGTTACTATCAACAGGTCAAGCAGTTTTTACTTGGATTTGTATGTATAAAGATTTCACAACTTTCTCCAGGGTATTTTCCCGTTTGCAATGGGTGGACTCTTGTGTACATTTGAGTGTGTATCGGCAGACACAGAGGTAATTCACATGCTGTTTCTCTCCTTGTAGGTAGAAATAACGCTTCAGGACATCAATGACAATCCCCCGGTGTTCCCGACGGACATGCTGGATCTCACCGTGGAGGAGAACATTGGAGACGGCTCCAAGATCACACAGCTCACGGCCTTGGATGCCGACGAGGTAGCTCAGAGCCTGAGTGAATTTTTGAAACAAAGTATCCCAGTGATCTAGCGCATTTCTATATGCTGACAACTTTTATTACCCAATGAGTAAGGTCAAAGAGTGTGTGCTCTTATCCAAAGAGAACATCGGTTGTTGAAATGTGTCATAAAAATGCTGATATAGACTATCAAGGGGCACTTTTCCTTGGACCAGCAATTCACAACTCCATTTCTGGTTGCATTTCAGATTCCTTAGCCAAATACAAATATTCCTGTTTTATGCTTTTATTATTTCATTGTGCTGTCTTACAGCAGCTAAGGATTTTTATTTGTAATTTTAAAAAGTGAATTCTTTAAAATTCAAAAAATGTTAAGGCATTTTATATTTTTTACTGAATTTGCATATTTATAAAATAGCATATAATTTAATAATAGCCTTATGTATTAAGGAAATTATCTAGTCAAGCTAATGACTTTTTCAACTTAGTTAATAAACAGAAATTTCTTGCCTAGTGGTGAATGTGAGATTTGGGGCTATAACCTAGATTACTATCTTCTATATTTACATTTTAAGTTTAGCTATATAATCATCATGCTCCAAGTGTCATAACAACTTATATAATTTGTAATTTATATTTTTCCCGTGAGAAAAGTCCATTACCTATTTTCTCCTTGCTTAATAAAGGGATTAATTACCATTCTGGAGTTTCAGAAAAGGAATCACCTTCCCAGACACTAATGTCCCCTTTCCGCTTAAACTAAGCCCAACACAGATCAAAGAATTTAACTTTCTTTCCTTAAATTATGCTCCAGAAGTATTTGGAAACTTGATTTTTGGCCTATGAGTAAGATCTTTAACTTTAAAAAGGTAAATAAATTTTATTTCTTGTATTTATTTATTTATTATTTTTTTATTTTTGGTACATGCCCCTAGTGGGAACCGAACCCAGGACTGCCGACGCTCCAACCGCTGAGCCAAAACGGCCAGGGCTATTTTTTTTTTTTAAAGACTACTTTTAACAGGCAGTACAGAAATGCAGTGACTTAGTCACTTACACATTTTGCTACGATCTAACTAATGAAAAGGAAACAAAATAAAGCATCGACATTTAGGTAATTGTAGCTTTGTATTTAAAAAGATTTGGTGTTCTAAATTCAGTACCTTCTACTCAGTTTTATATAGTGACTGAATGTTTCTATTATTATTGATAGGTCTGAGACAATATCAGCAATAATTTAGTAGACACTGAATTTGTAAAGCTCATCATTGATAAAATATTTTGGATAGCTTAATCCATAAAATTGTATTAACTCTCATTTAGCAAAATAGAAAATAAAAAACTCATGTAGTTGCTATGAGGTTTACATCAAATTATTGTCATAGTGATGACCGTTTGTTTTGGCTGTGCTCTGTAGGAACAGGACAGAGAAACCTTATTTATTTCAAGTGATTTATTCAAAGAGTGAAGCAGTTATGTTAATTATAATATATATATTCTAATGGGATATACTACTCGCTTAAGAACTGATTATTTGAAAGAGATGATAACATTCAACCCTTTTAGTACTATTATTTTTCACTGTTATAATTTTATTTCCCTCTCTTTCTTTTCAAGATATATGACAAAAGTTTAATACAAATGCAATGCTGACTGCATGCTTACTTTTATCCACCTGACTCTTCTGTGTGTGCATGTGTGTATGTGTGCATCTGTGCATGTGTGTATGTGTGCATGTGTGTATGTGTGCGTGTTTGTGCATGTGTGTTTATGGGTGTATGTGTGCATGTGTGTATGTGTGTGCACGTGTGTGTGCGCTCATGCACTTGTGTTGCCTTCAAGTTCATCTTTTGAGATATGTTTATATTTATGATGAAATTTGAGGATTGGTTGGCGCAGGTCCTTATGTCTCTAAGTATTTACATCCACACAGTTTTAGTGCATTTTTTTTTATTTCTCTCAAGCTTTGTTTTTTAAGTTAAAAAAGTGTAAGAAACCATGCAGGTGTTATCACTTAGATGTCCTAGTTTAAAAAAATACCAACTGTAAGGTGTTGATATCCGGGACACCCAGAGGTGCATTTGGGGTGAGACAGGGGCAAGAAAGTGACCGGCTGGGAACAGGCGGGCCCTGGAGGGGAGGCTGTTTGCAGCTCAGGGGGCGGTGGGGGTGCGGACAGTCCTGCAGGGTGTGACTGCCCGAAGGCACAGAGATCACCCAGTCCCTGGGGGTGGGATCTGAGTGTGTGTGTGTGGGGGGGGGCTGGAGGAGGTAGGAGGGGGTGAGGGGAGGTAGCAGGTTCACCTCCAACTTTAATGGAAAGGAGGACTGTCTCTAAAATTGCTCTGGACTATTGTTTTCCTTAAAGATCAAGCTCACGAGGGTGCTTTTCTTCTTGAATACATTTTCTCTTAAAATTTTAGTAGCATTTTAATGACTACTATTTCTACTCCTAACATAAGGAACTAACTTTTCTTTGTCCCAGGACCAAGCAGAATGGATAACTAGGCATTTGGAATGATGTGTGTATGTGTGCATGTGTGTGTGTTTATTGGTTTACAATAAATTAATAGCAGTGCTTTTAGATAAACCTTTATTCTACTTTTCACTGTACTCTCAGCTCTTTACTTTTTAATAGAATTTGAATATATATATATATATATTTGAAATGTTTTCTCTCACTAAATCGTGGGTCTTTTTTTTTTTAAAGAATGTTTTTATTGACTTTTAGAGAGAGAGAGGGAGAGAGAGAGAGAGAGACATCGATTGGTTGCCTCCTGTACCCACCACTACTGTGGATCAAACCCACAACCTGGGTATGTGCCCTGACTGGGAATCAAACTGGCAACGTTTTGGTGTCTGGACAACACTCAACCAGCTGAGTCACAGTGCCCGGGGCAGTGGGTCTGTTTTCTTTCTTCATCTAGTTTGGGTAACAAGATAACAAGGATGGGCTCTGTGGGCTGGGGCTCTGGTCCGTGGGTATGCCCAGGGAGGTCTGGAAAAGAAGGTTACTCTGACATTTCAGAGGTATGTTATCTTAGAAGCAAAAAGACAACAGACAGACTCACTTAGGTAAAGACTGACCTTTGTCAAGGAAGCTGAAGGCCTAGGTCGGTTCATATGTCCCTTCATCCAGATGTGCAGAGTGACCAGTAACTAACGAGGAGAAAGGCTATGTTTACTAAAGGGAGCAGATCTCAGGTTGAGGAAAACTCTAGGGAGACCTTTGGCACAGGGTGTGTAAAAGCTTCTAAAATTTTACCTAGAGTTTTTATTGTACCCTTTGTATGTTCCAATGACAATACTGCAGAATAGGTCAAATGTTACAGATAGACTGCACTATTTGCTCAGTGAAATGAGTCCCTTGGTCACTATGTAACTCACAGGGAATTTACCAATAAAGGTTTTTTTCCAGTAATAACTTACCAACTGTTAAGGCTATTGCTCTTTTGCAAGGTAATACCTCAACCCAGTGAGAAAGCATAAAAATTATAACTAACACACACACACACATATATATATCCTAGAGATGGTGATATTTAGACAAAATTCAATTATTGTATTTCAAATGAACCTAAAGGAAGTGAGACATGTCCTTGGGCCCCATGGGGTGATTTTCCAGGGCTATATTTTGGACTGATAGAGCATTTGTTATACACTTTAGGAGCTACAGTAGGAGAAGGTTTCTAGTAATATTGTTTACTCCATGAAATCATAAATGTACTAGTTCGTATACATGTTGAAGTATAGATAATTGGGTCCCTATACATAAGATTGAAAATGAATCATTCACATATTGGTTAGGCCCAAATCATATCTGTTCGTCTGAGTCAAAGGTTCCCCCTTTCTGTTGCCATATCCTCTTTTCTTCTTCTGTGGGTTGGAATTGTAAAAGAGAGTCCTTTATTGACTTAATAGGAAGCAAGGAGTATTCCCGGATTTGGATCATGCTGCCCATCTAGCTGCATCAGCAGCTAAATGGTTTTCTTTTGTTTCCATGGTGGCAGTGTTAGAATGTCCTGGGGTTTTGATAATTGCCAATTGTTTCAGTTACTGTATGCCATCTAATAATCCCGCAGCCTGTTTTCCACTCTTTATGGGCTGCCCTGAGGAGGTTAAGAAGCCTCGCTACTTCCCCAACATTACAAAGTCATGAACTACACCAAAAGCATAGCTACCATCAGTGTATATGTTGGCTATTTGGTCTTTGGCCAACTGACATGCTCACATTAGAGCAATTAATTTAGCTTATTGGGCAGATCTTACCCAGGTAAATAAGAACCATCAATTGTGTCACCATAGAAATTATTGCATATCCAGCCCGGTGGTGTCCCTATTCATTGTTTAGATAAGCTCCATCTAGAAACTAAACTAAGTCAGCATGATCAATAGGAGTTTCCAATAAATCATTCCTAGATTTATTTGACTGGCATCAAGAAGGTGGTCAGTTAGCGAAACCCAATTGTGGATGTCTTTTTTGTTTGTTTTTTTTGTTAATCCTCACCTGTGGATATTTTGCCATTGATATGTAGATAGAATGGAAAGGAGAGAGGGAGGGAGACAAAAACGTCCATGTGGGGCCAGATTGGCTGCCTTCCACATGAGCCAGGGATCGAACCTGCAACCCAGGTAGATACCCATGACTGGGAATTGAACCCGTGACCCTTCAGCCTGTGGGCCCACACTCTAACCGCCGAGCTAAATCAGCTAGGTCCAATTGTGGATGTCTTTATCCTGCAAAGATGTTAGGAAACTTGCTGGGTTAAGACTGTTAACATCCAGCTAAGGTAATATTAGGCGCAGAAAGCAAAAGTACTTAATAAGAAACCAGTCCACTAACAGGAGTGTTGAGGGTGATGAGAGGTCAGTGGAGAGTCAACAGAATGAGGACCATAAATAAAGGAGAGCCCATAACTATCTCTTAGTTTGTTTGCATCGCACGCAGTAGCAGAGATGGCCATCGTGGGGGCCCTTTGGCTAGTGCCTCTAATTACCGACTATAATATCCTATAGGTCT